TCCCGGCCTGTCCCGGGCTCCTCCCGGCCTGTCCTGGGCCCGTCCCGGCCTGTCCCGGGCCCGTCCCGGCCCGGCGCCCGCCATGGCCCTGCCGGTCGTGCACAGGTGCCTCCAAGTGAGTGCGGCCCCCGCTCCCGGGAGCCCCGGCCCAGCAATGCCCGGCGGGGCCGGGTTTGCCTGCGGCGCCGAGCTCAGGCTGCGGGCGCAGCGCGGGGCTCGGGGCTGGCCCAGGGCATCGCCTCTACTCGGTACCCTCCGGGATAAAGCAATCTACTTTTATGTATATATTTGTATGTGTATGTCTATATATATATGCACGCATATCAAATAGTTTTATATATGCACACACGCATATCCTATATATACGCATACACTATAGTTATATATGTTATATATGTAACTATAAATACATAGTTACATGTATTATATATATGCATATATATAAAATATAGCTTATATATACAGCTTATATATATAGCTTTATATCTTATATATAACATATACACATTAATTAATATATTAATTAATATATTGTTTTATATATATTATTTACATAATATATATTATTAATGTGTATATAAATATATATACATTAATTAACATATATACATAGAGTTATATGTACAAAATGATTCTAGTTATATATTGCCTCATATTACCATAATATATATATATTATATATATATATGACTTCATACTGTTGGTCAAGGTCCAGCAGACATGCGTGCAAGAATTTCAGCCAGTGCGGCTATCTTTTTGTCTCTGGTGAGGTTAAGTAAAAAATAAACACCATCTTAGTTGCAGAGCTGATGTTGGTAGTTTAGGACTATAACTTGGGTGCTTTGTCCCTCTGTGATTAATTTTAAATGCAAAACCAGTACCCTATGTTCCTTAATGAATTATGAAGTTATATTAGACATGTTTAATAGATACCTGTTAAAGGACCTTTGTTGTAGTCAAATGTTCTTAAAATTTGAGCCCAGTTGTTTTTACTGCCATTTTTCCTTTTGGATGCTTCTATGGTTTAGGAAAACTGTAGTAAAGTTTTTGGGGGAGAGTTTTAATTTGAAGTGTTATCAGCTTAATTAACATTTGATTTGAAAATTTTCCTTGATTTTTTTTGTTTTTGAATTCCTTTTCAGCTCACTGAGGAAAATGAGCAGTTAGTCAAGAAGGTGAAAAAACTACACATAAAAAATGAGGAGCTAGAAAGGAATCTGGGTCAGATTCAAGAACAACTGTATCTGCAGCAGTTAATGCATGTCTGTGGCACAAGCAGAGAGTAAGAATTGTCAAACGTTTCTCTTTTGCATCAAAAGAAGTGCAGCATTTCGGGACTTTTATTTGCATGTCCTTAAGATGAGCTAGGCATTATCTGGTGTCTGTATTTTGAGGAGCCATCTGTGAAGAAGGTGGTGGGGTGAAAAATGCTGGGGGCCTTTAGAGAAGTGAAGGAGGTGGGGCACCTTTTACAAAATTTATTTTAGTGAAAGAAACCGTTTTAATTTCAAAAAGTAATACTTCTGCTTAGCCAGTACACTCTCTCTTGGAAACAAAAGAAAAAGATAGGTAAGATATAGATAAGTTGAGTAACATAAATGCTGTTTAAAATATTTAGAACCTAAGGACCTGAAAAATTGTAGTGCTACTGGTTTGGAGAGTGTCCTGCCAGGATTTACACACCGGTTCACAAAAATCTTCCAAGGCTTAAGTTTTGGTGCATTTATGATCCTGCCTGGAAACTTCTACCATAAAATCAATCTGAAAAGTAACTTGGCCTTTTTCAGTTGCTTTGTTTAATTAAATTAAATTGGTGAAGTATGCTTTTATGAAGCTGTTGTGTTTGTTTCAATTAAGTGTTCAGGTTCAAACAGAAACACATTTATGGCATAAGGGTGGCGACAGCAAGGATCTGGTTCTAGAGAGTGACAGTGTCAGGTGAGTTCTTGGAAGCTGCTTCTTCACAGAATTATTTCTTCTTTGTAGTGTAGAAAATGTTCATGATTAAGTCAGTTGATTTTTTTTAAAGCTGTTATGCAAGTGGCTTTCAGCCTTTGAAACAATGGGAAATCATTCACATTTTAAAAATAACTACAAAATCTTGGATTAAATTTGAAAAGAGTACCAAGCAAAGAGCAAAATGTATTTCTTTCTTAGGTAGTACATTGAGAGGAATTAAGTGAGCTGGGAACCTCCTTCATGTGTTTGTATGCACACATACGATCTTTTTTGTAGATTTTTTTAACCTAGAACCTTTGTGGTTTCGCTTCTATTTTGTGGAACCTTTCTCAGCTCATTTTATATTGCTCACTGTTTTGTACATATAAAATTTATAGTCTCATTTTGAAATGAGCTAGAGAAGCAGTTCTACTTTTCAGTCTAATAACTTTAGAGTTGAGCCACTACTTACTGTAGTTTGCCAATAAGTGATAGAATCAAACTCTTGCTTTTCTGATGCAAAAGCTACAAATTTTGTCTTTAAGAAAAATATACTGGAACATTTTAACAACTAGGCAAGCTACGTAAAATATTGCTCCATCCCTCTATGACTTGATAGTAAAATTCTAGGCTGCTCACCCCTTCAAAGGCTGCTTTTTGTCCACTTACATAAATGTGGATCTTACACAGATCTCAGTTGCTCTTTGGCCAAGTGCCCTGTTTTTAGTGTTTTTAGGTGGCTGTAGAAGACCCTTTTTCTCTCT